CATGGCTCGGCCAGGGAGGCATGTGCATCGATCCTGAGGACGGGATCGACCCGGCCAGAATTGGTGTGGGTGTATAGATGGCGTCCTCGGATGGGAGCTCATATCCCGCAAGCCATGCGGCTCAAATTCTCAGAGCTGCTGGACCGAGCTGCCGGTCCGACAATGTGCGCGTCGTCCAGGCCCTTGGCTCCCGCCACCAAGAGCGCTGGCGCCGAGGCGACCCTGCGCAGAGGTCTCAGCGCGTCCTCCGCCAGCTCGATCGTCAGGAACGTGTTCTTCACCACGAGGAGGCCCTCCGCCTCGCTGTCGGTGACCGACGACGAGTCCGCCGCGTCCACCTCCGAGGCACCGGATCCCGCGGTAGACAGCGTGCTGCTGGTGGCGTCCGGCGAGACGTCCACGAGCTTTCTGTCAGGCCTCTCTCGGCAGGGGATCCTCGTCCTCCGATCCTGATAAACAACTCCCCCCTGTCGCACCCCGAGGCAGGTCGAAAGGGCGGACCAGGCGTTTCGCCGGAGACTTCCTCACCACTTGTGCCCCTGAAGCTGAAAAATCGGCAACACTTTCAAAGATGGAGGGCGGGTCGTTTTCGAAAAGTGGTTCTCGCCTTAGCGCCGCGCACATGCGTTTTAACAAGTTGCAAGAGCTTCACGGAGTGAGGACGGGTCGTTTCCAAAACGTTTTTGTTCGCCTTAGCGTCGCGCAATTTCGTTCAAAAATCTGCAAAAACAATTCTAAAAAAAATGAAGGCAAGGCGTTTTCAAGATGTGGCTCTCGCCTTAGCGCGGAGCACAGTCGTCTTAAAAATTGCAGAACTTTCACGGATTGGGGGCGGGTCGTTTTCAAAATGTGGCTTTCGCGTTAGCGACGCGCACACTCGTTTGAAAAATCTGCAGGGGGTTCACGGATTCACGGCCGCTCTGTTTCAAAAAGTGGCTCTCGCCTTAGCGCCGCGCACACTCGTCTTAAACACAGCTGCCAGAATGTCACGGATTCTGGTACTCTTAGGTACCATAAATGGTGTTTTGGATGTACGCAGCATTATGAGGGCGCAACAGTTACGTTGACTCGCGGTGCTGCTCTGGCACGATACAGGACCGACAAAACGCAACAGTCAAGTTGATTCGCGGCGTTGGAGCCCCGAGAACGGTCTTTTGGCACGCTTCAGGGTCTTCAAACGGTTGTCTCCCGGCGAAGCACTTCCCTCAGTGGAAATGAACCCTTGTAGGAGCCTATCAAGAAGGAGTTTGGAGGAAGCGTTTATTCCTACATCTCTGATGATTATTGAGCTTACACTAGTCCTCCTCCGCCTCCTCCTCGTCCTGTTCCTCCGGTTAATATGATTCGTCTTCGTCATACTCTTCTTATGATTATTGTTCCTCTTGCCTTGTCCCATTGCACTCATGCAGATTCTCATGGGGTGCAAGTACAGTCGGGGCGTTGACCTAAGGAAGCTCAAATAAGGAACGAGGCCCCTTGATCCCAAAAGTTCAGCTTGGATTTCCCATCGAAAACCTCAGGAAAACCCAAGCCAAACTGTTCAACAATCAAGGAACACCGAGCCCCTCCCCAAAGAGAAGGGTTCCTTCTTCAGCGCCCTGACTGTACTGCTCTGGATGCCGACAGCGGTAATCTGGGAACTGCTGCGCCGGACAAAGACGGGGGAGCCTGCTGCGTCGAACGCCTCCTCCTCGTCCTCCTCCTTCTCCTCCTCTTCATCCTCATCCTCCTCCTCATCATCATCCTCAGCAGCAGCAGCATCACCATCGTCCCCCATCCCTTTCCCTGACAGATGACTTTTCCATGCCGCACCACCAGACGCATCGATTGGGCATTCTGAACGTTTCGCCTGAGACCTCCCCACCACGCCCCACGAGGAGGAGGAGGAGGAGGAGGAGGACGAGGAGGAGGAGGACGAGGAGAAGAGGAGGGGGAGGAGGAGCAATTTCGCAATTCCAACAGCTAGAACGATGGCGGAGGGGCCTCGCCTTCGTGCCGCGCACACGTGTCCTGGAATGCTACGTGCAGTACAGGGACAGAGAGGGCGACTGCATTTCAAAGCAGGGCCCTCGCCCCAGCGACGCGCACGTTCGACTCACAAAGCATGCAACAGCTACACGGATGGGACGACGGCTACGACTTCCTTTCAAACTGGAGCTCCCGCCTCAGCGCCGCGCACGAGCGATGCACAGGCCTGCCCCAGGCACACGGATGGAGGGCGATCCTTTTTCAAGATGGGGCTCACGCTTGAAGCTTCCTCTCATTCGGCAGCCTGAAGCTTAGCATGTGCAGCAGCTGCACGGATGGAGGGCGGCTCATTTTCACATTGGGGCCCTCGCTGGAGACCTCCTCAGACTTGCATGACCAGACGTGCAAATGTGTACAACAGCTGAACTGTATGATCCTACCCTTCCACTTTCAACATGATTCGCTGAAGGATGCAATGTAGTGTTCTTTCAAAACGGGGCTCTCGCCTAAATGACAGACCCACGTGGCGGTTGTCATTCAAGGGGGACGCACCTCGCAGTGAAAAGCGGAGGGGGTTCGGGACGGGAGGGTGCCACTGTGCCTCTGGGTACAGAGTGGGCTTGTTCTCAGGTCCGTTGTCGAAACTCCTCTGAATATCATTCCTCAGTCCCGAGGAGTCTCTTAGGGGCCCAGACCTCAAATTCCCGAATCTTCTGGGACTTCCCGCGTGCCCCTTGGGCCACGTCGCTGCTTGTCGCATGACTTTGTCGGGCCCAAGAAGGTCCCAAGATGGACCCAGAGGGCCCCTAGAGGCTCCCTGAACGGCCCGAGAGGGCCCCGAGTCGCCGAACGATCGGTCCAAGGCGCCCAAGATGGTCCTGAGATGGGCCAAGAAGCCTTCAAGACGCGAGGCCTCCAAGAGGCCTCCCGACAGGGCCCCTGGGGGCAAAAATAATGTACTTTCCGTAGGTTGTTGAAAGATGTTAGTCTTGTCGGCTTCCCGACGCTCCACGACAGCCAACGAGGCCCCGAAGATCGCCCCAAGACGGCCCCCTAAGAGGGCCCCAAGAGGGCCCCAAGACGGCCCAAGAGGGCCCTAAGACTGCCCAAGAGATGTCCAAGACTGCAACAGCTTATGTGCCACAATTGGACGCGCACGTCTGAATCGAACACATATGAATGTATTTGTGTACATAGAAATGTGTGTATATCCGCCACCGTGTCACTAGGCGCGAAGTGGAGTTTTCGCAAGGTCCTCATGTGTCCTCTGTTCTTTGTGCTCAGGGTTCTGGGGTTATGGTATCTAGAAGGGCTGGGGCCGCGTTCCCGCGCGTTCTTGGGCTGCCCCGCGTGATTCTTCCAGAGGCCAGAGGGCTCCAAGACGGGCAGAAAGCGCCCAAAAGAGTCCAAGAGGCCTCCGAGACACCCCAAGAGCGCTCCAAGACGCCCAAGATGGCCCCAAGGCGGCCCAAGAGGCCCCGAACGAGCCCCAAGAGCGCCCCAAGAGGACCCCCAAGAGAGCCCAAAGAGACAAAAGTCATTGATGATCCGTATGTGTTTCGATGTTGTTCGCGTTCTCGCGTGTTCGGGCTCCCGACGCTCCAAGATGGCCCCAGAGGCCCCCAAGACCGCCCCAAGACGGCCCAAGAGGCCCCCAAGAGGGCCCCAAGACGGTCGAAGAGGGCCCCAAAACGAGCCAAGAGGCGCCCAAGATCGGCCAAAAGGGACCCAAGATGGCCCCAAGAGGGGAAGCACGAACCGAGAATTCGAGCCTGCTGGCCCAAAAAGTCCCCAGGAGGCTCCAAGAGGCTCCCAAGAGAGCCCGAGAGATCCCCTTGAGGCCCCACGAGGCCCCCAAGAGGACCAAAAAGAGGCCCCAAGAGGCCTCCAAACGGCCCGCAGGAGGCATCAAAGCTGCCTCCAAGAGGCCCCCGAGAGGACTCTCCTGAGATTCTACACCTATATATATATATATATGTATATGTGTGTATATCTCTATATATATATATATATAGATAGATCGATATGTATATATATACTATATACTATCTATATATGTCGATCGATCTATCTATATGTGTATATATATATATATATAAGCGCAACAAAAGAAGAACATCGCTACCAAGACGATTTGGCCAGAAAGCGCCCGCCACCGAGCATATACTGAATAATTTCTGCGCGCACGGCACTTCTGAGGAGCCGACGCATACACGGCTTAAGTATGCTCTGGGGCGATGCCGACCAACAACGCCCAATGACAGCGGACGGCATGCAGGAGTGTGAGTGGCAACGAAGGGGGGGGCTGGCTCAGGGGGGGGACATCGAGCTTGAATCGGCGATACAAGGCCGATAGGTCGGCGATACAGTCGGGGCGTTGACCTAAGGAACCCTAAATAAGGAACGAGGCCCCTTTGTCCTATAAATTAAACTTCGATCTCACATGGAAGACCTTAGGAAACCCCAAGGCAAACTGCAAAATAATCGAGGAACACCGAGCCCCTCCCCAACGGAAAGAGTTCCTTCTTCAGCGCCCCAACTGTAGGCCCTCGAAAGCAAATCCGCACGCTCCTGGGCGAGTTGGGCAATTCGCTCCAAGCCGAGGGACCGCCGGGCCCTCCGTCCATCCGCCGGGCCCTCCGTCGGGCCCTCCGTCGGGCAGGAGATCCAGGCCCGCCGTCGGGCCGCCGGCGATCTGCCCACCCGTTCCGCCCCCCCACGGTGGCGCCGCCTGCCAGGGGAGAGGCTGGCCAGCTCAGCGGCGCCCTCGTCGCACCTCCGAGGAAGGGGG